TATATAGTTTAACTTAACCACTTCCCGACCCCTGGCTCCGTCCCAAGATAACATACAATGCAATAATCTCACACGATACTGACCAACAAACCCGACGTCTAAACACGCTCCACATAGGCATGAAAATATGAACAAGGATATGGCAACGAGACAGGATTCTGTGTGGACATATACTATAAAGTATAAACTATATTCCATAGTGACCAGTTTTCTATGACAACGATTTTAGCTCTACAAATAAGGAAGTCCATTGAATAGAAGTTCAAATTAATATTTAAAGAATCAAACCTGATTTGTTCGATGATTTCTCAGCTACTCGAATGAGTCCGAAAAGTTCTTCAAACTTGAAACTAGTGTTCTTCAAGTTCTTCAAATTTCCACTAATATAAAAAGCACAATCATCAGTCTAAGTAAAAATGAAGCAAACATAAACAAAATTACATATAAATTACAAAGTCTAGATGTAGTTGAATTGAGAAAGAATTAAATATTAGGATCTGAAAAAGTACCTAGAAAATGGTGAATATTAGGATCTGGAAAAAGGCATAGATTATCCCGAACTTACTCTGCAACTGACATTATTGTTGCAAGAATAAAAATTGATGAAAACTGATCACGCCCAACTATGCATTATAAAAAGGACACGCGGACGTTGCAAATATAATCTGAGTATTTAGCCCAAAGTCGAATTCACAAGGAATTAACTTATCAATTACTTCTCGTTAAACTTACTAAATTCCACGGAATCAACTTCTCAAACGTTGTAAATAACAATTGAGGGTATTTCTATTAACTACGAATAAATGTAAATAAGCAACTGAAAATTAACTATAATTGAGTTGTAAACAATTAAGCGAAGGTTCTAAGGCTATGATTTCCCCTATTGATGGACTCCCTTCCGGTTATGCTTCACATAGAATCACCAAATCATCTCTATCAATCATGAGCACTCTTACTACCGTAAATCTCTCCCGAGTAATCATGATAATCTACTAGACGCACTCTCCCGAGTTACGCTAGCTGACTTTGTTTATTACCACTCACTTTAGAATGCACCCAAGGCTTCGTTATCCCTAATCTCGCCTTTAAACCTGCAATTATTGATCTCTCATATATTTTGGGAGTGGTGTTGTTCAACAATTATCTAAATATGCACTCTCTCCCGAGTTATGCACACTAANTTTCCAAGTTTACCCCTGAAAATTAATATTCCGGAACTGGGGTAGCGCGGCCGCGCTAATGCCCTACCATTCTGCCTCGATCATCTGGGCTAGCGCGGTCGCGCTAGTGGACGCGCTAATGGCCGCTAGTCTAGGCCTTCATTTTAACTATTCGTTTTCTCGTCTTCTCGCGTACTCAGCTCCTACGGGGTTTTTTTCTTGCTTCAATGTAGCTCCAATCACAGCTTTAAGGCCTCATACAAGCTCCTCACTCCTGCAACGTGTGAAATTCACAATTAGAGCCCATTTTTCATCAATTAACTATATTATAACATTGGAACATAATCAAGGTGGGGCATAAACAATCGCCAAATTACATAAATCTAGCATATTATCAAAAACTCATTAGTTTTTTTTTGGAGAAATTCCCTACTGCATGTAGGGAAGTAACGAGAGGTTGAGTTCCGGAAAGAAACGAGGCTTTTGAACTTTTGATAATGAAAAAGGTTGGGAAAAGAAAAGATATGAAGAAAGGATAGAAACGTCTTTTTGTATTTATAACAAAGTAGTGTTTTGCTCAGCATTAAAATTGATGGCTAAACACTAAATAGCACCTTAAAAAGTGGGGAGAAATTTAAAAATAGCCAGATTTACAAGTGGTCATTCAAAAATAGCCACAGTTCCAAAAGTAATTGGAATTTAGCCACTTTTTATGTAAAGATAAATCTCAACGAAAACACTGTTCAAAATCCGAAAAATACTCCAACATAATATACTGGAGTTCCAGTATAATACACCGGTCCAGCATAATATATTGGAGTTTGGAGCATCGATGCTCCAGTCTCTAGTATATTATACTGGAGCCAACAAAGTATACCGGTCCAGCATAATATATTGGAGTTTGGAGCATCGATTCTCCAGTCTCTAGTATATTATACTGGAGCCAACAAAGTATACCGGTCCAGCATAATATGCTGGAAGTTCATACACAGGTGCACCGAACTCCAGTATATTATGGTGGACCGGTCTCTGTTGCAGCAAAGTAATGACTATTTTTCAATAACTTGGCAAACGCTGGATAATTTTGAACGATCAGTCCGAAAACTGGCTAGACCGTACTATTTTAACTAAAAAGTGGCCACCCCACGCCATTTCCACACCAAACGACCCAGCAATATTAGGCAGGCCCAATGGTCATGATCACATTAACCCAATTCTTGGGCCGGCCTACAAATTCGACTCGCCAAGTAGGCACAACCCTGCGCTGGCTGTATAAAGCGCAATTTCATCCTTAGGCCAAGGTCTTTGCCACTGTAACTGCTGAACGGCGACAGATCTAATCCTCGGCCCGCAACAATGGTAACTCTCATGCTCCCACTTACTGGAATTCAGTACGCTTCGTTCACTAGGAAAGGAAATAATTATTTTTTGTTATTTGATAAATGAGTACATATTTAATTACAGTAGCATTTACTTAAAACTGTCTGGATATATTTGGAATGAAACTTCGATTTGAGGGCTATTTTCATTAGTAGCTGTGCACCTTTTATCTCTCTTTGTATGAACAATAAGTAGTCTAAAAATTTTATGCTGTTTGATGTGTATGGTCTTACTTAAATCTATTAACAGTGAAAGTTAGTTGGATATGGGGTGGGAACAAACTGTAATTTTTTTTATGACAGTCGTGTTCAGGCCAGCTTGCACACGTTAACCATTTCACTTGGTAACTGCTACCTCCCACTATCACAGGAATTGAGTAACTCTGGCTACGAAGGCTTAGGCAGATAGGAAGTAATCCCCTAGTATTATTTTCCTTCATCGGGATTTAAGGTGAGAACAAAATTTATTTTGAGGGGAAATGAAATGAGTTGATGTTGCAACTTAGAACTGATTTTGAGCCCTCTAGAATATTGTGCAATTATATTGATCTTTTCAACAACAAAATTAAAGTAGGTTGACTTGTTCCATTATTCATAAATGTTAAGCATGCTTGCCTCATAGCGCTTTGGTTTAGCGGTAAGACCGCACCTTGTGATGTGTGGGTTATACGCACATCACTGGTTTGAATCCTAACGAAAGCCTGAAATTTAAGTAGGGAAGGGTTGAGGAGAAGTCCAATATCCGTCGAGTTTTGAACCGTATGCCATGGGCTCTCAGGGATTTCTTTATTACAAAAAATATGTTCAGTCATACTTCTTGACCTTCCATGACATCTTAACCTTGGTTGAAGAGTTTGGACAATCACAAATTAACTTTATGTACCCCTTATTATTTTGTCGTTGCGATTGCTCTTCTTGGGAACTCCTGTCAAGTTCAAATTGATCCTCTCACCCCTAGATTCATCCATTCTTTTTATGCACGTAATCTTAATTGGGATTGTAATGGATGGAGGGTAGTGAAACCCTTGTACACCTTTAGTACTGGTTGAGCTGCTTCAGAACAAGTAAGCTAGTGGGTGGGGCGCCTGTTGTGCTGCAGTTATTGGTAAGGAGGATTTGAAAGTGGATTGAGATGTTGAATTAAGAACACAATTTACAAGAGAGCTTAGGGAAAGAGCATATGCACAGTTTTGAATTGTATAGAGGCACGGTTTATAGGTTGAGGGTGATATTATTGATAAATCTTACCACTTGCAGAGCAATGAAAGAGATGAGAGAGCAGCCCTTCTGCTTGTTATAACTGTTTTCTTGTGAAACATCTATTTCACTTATCATCTTTTTCTTGCATCCCCATTCTCTTTCCTTGGAAGCTACTTTTGTTTTTATATATAGTTTTAGGGATGATTTGATTTGGATTATTTCACTTAATCTAATCAGCTTTTAACCAAATAATGGTGTTAACCATAATTAGAGTTTGTAATTCTCATGAGATGATTGATTTTAAATTATTTATTCAATAACCACTTATGCAAACGATGAGCATCGGTTTCATACATGAAGACAAACAGGCTTGTTTAACTTGGTTTTGATTCCGGCTCTTGCAGGTGAATGTACCTAAGACAAAGAAGACCTACTGCAAATCCAAGGAATGCAAAAAGCACACCTTGCATAAGGTCACACAATACAAGAAAGGAAAAGATAGTCTAGCTGCCCAGGGAAAGCGTCGTTATGATCGTAAGCAGTCAGGTTATGGTGGACAGACGAAGCCCGTCTTCCACAAAAAGGTGGGAAGCATTTTTGGGTTTCGTAATGAACACACTCTTTCATAGCCCTTTTAATATCTTTTTAATAGCCATATCATAAACTATTGGTGATTTGATAAAATAAGGGTAACAAGAAGAAGCTATATGATTTATGCACTATTTGTGGTGTTAAACATTCTAAGCTACTTTGTAGTATCACTCATCTGTCTCCTGTTTCTTCTGCCATTCCAAACCAGGCAAAAACTACAAAGAAGATTGTCTTAAGGTTGCAATGCCAGGGGTGCAAGCATGTCTCTCAGCACCCAATCAAGGTTTGTTAGATGATGATCTTTGCTTCTATAATTTTTCCTTAGCAATGTCTTTGTTCCCATGATTTTACAAGTTAAACTCTTGTCCTTGGTTGTGCAGAGGTGCAAGCATTTTGAGATTGGTGGG